GAGGAGAGGAGAGGAGAGGAGAGGAGAGGAGAGGAGAGGAGAGGAGAGGAGAGGCTCTCCTGTCACAGAGAAGTCTGAACCCTGCCTGTTGCTCAGATGCCACCTGTCTGTAATGCTCTGATGAGATTGTTCCCTACACCAAGTGAGGAGCTTTGCAGAGTCGTGGTCAACCCTCCTAAAACCTCACAGGATAAAAGAAGGGGCTGAGGATATGGGTGTGGATATGGAATTTAACAACCACAATGGGAGCCTTCCGGCAGGAGGAAGGGGAGACACTGCTGATCTTCCCTGAGGCCTGGACAGGAAGAAAGGAATTGTAGCTCTAATAGGAGGGATTTCAGTTAGACTCCAAGAAGAACTTTTCACTTTTGAGAGTTGCTGAATATCTCTGGACTTTTTGGTCCTATCTTTCGTTTAGAAAAGTCACTCAACATCTGGGGTGAATTTAGGAAAGATGGAGAAATGTGAAAGAAAATAGCACCTGGCATTTTGGTTGACATTCTTTTCCTTAGAAGGATAGGGCACAGAGAACAGTGTTCAAGGGTTTGGTGGAATGTGGGGCAGGGAGGATTCTGAGGTCAGCAGATCCGGGATCAAATCCTGACTTTGCCACATAGCAATCGAGTGGCTGTTAAATGAGAATAATAGTACCGGCTCCAGAGAGTTCTGACAAAGATCAGGTGACATACCAAATATCACATATTGATCCCAGTATCTGGCCCAACGCCAGCTCTCAATAAATAGTGGCTGCCATTAACAAAGGGAATCCTGAAGGTTTGGAGCAGTTCTCTTGCTGAGCCTACTTTTGTCCCATCCCTCCCCTGGGGACAAGAGCCAGGACTGGTCCTGCTCTCCGGGCTGCTGCCCTCCTTCCAGCTGCTCTGGAAGCTGGGACCTGAGTGCGAGGATGATGAACTACTCGAGTGACCCAGCCATGGAGCAGGCCACCAGACCACGGGCCCAAACACCAGCAGGTCTTGTGTTGGACAACACCACCGTCAGGGCCCCTGGAGCCCAGAGTCGTGATGGACTTCCCTAGGAAGCGAGTTCCCACTGCCAACCTCCCTCCCCTAAGCTCTGCCCTCTAGCCCCAGGCTCCGGAGAAACCACTCCCCAAGTGCTCTAGAGGCAGTACTCACAGTTTCTGGAGCCCTGGAGTCTTCAGCAGGCAGAGACTTTTGGCCTGGCCCCCAGCCCCCACCCCAAAAGAGGCTGCCTGAGCTGCAGCAGGAAGCTTGGGCTCCCAGCCCATCTCTGGGAAAGCAGCCTCTGGTCCCCATCCGGGACAGGCCTCCATGCCCAAACATGGTCAAGTCTGAGCACACAGCCCCAGGACACAAACTCCAGAGAGTCCGTCCCAAGCCTAGGAGACAAGGGCAGCTGTTACCCAGGCCCCCACACCTGCAATTTCCAGGGTCTGTAAGAAACAGATTTGGAACAACGAAAGACTGAGCAAAACTGAGAAGCCAGGAAAGACCATCCTGGTACATTTAGAGACGTTTCTTCATCATCAGTCTCTCTGGGCTGGCAGGAAAGCCGGGAATAGGAAATGATTTTCCTTTTGTTGACAAGGGAGGGAGGAGGAGTTAGAGCTCCAAGAGGTTGGGCTTATCAGCTACTAGGGGGCTGGCAAATCCCCATAGGAGCATCCAAACCCTCAGGAGCCTTTGGCACTTAAATGCTGTGTGACCCTGGGCAGGTCACGGCATCTCTCTGAGCCTCAATTTTCTCAACTATGTTGCTGGGATTTTTTTAAACTAACTTTGTTTAGGATAATGATGAGTGTTAGGGATAGCGAAGATTTGAAGCAGAGGAAGAGAAACCCACCTTTTAAAGTCCAGCCAAGCAGAAGCTGAAAGCAGTGAGGCCTTCACAGCTGTTCCAGCCAGCCAGGTCCAGGGACAGCCTGCTCTGCCAAGCGGCCTCCCAGAGACTGTCGAAGTACAGTTTGGAGGCATGGACAGAGATTTGTGCCTCTCAATATTACCAGTGAGCCGCAAGGAGGTCTTTTAAGGCCTTAGACCTCACAGGTAGATTGACAAAGAGGGACACGGGGCCTGGAATGAATCCCCAGAGGACTGGTTTTCCCAGATGGTCCTTGGCCCATCCAGGAGCCAGAAGAGCCCTTCTGGTGCCCGTGAACTAATGGAAAAATGCCAGTCCTTCCTCCCACTCCCCCTGGGGAAGAGAGACACGGTGCATGCAACAGAGCCATTTCAAGTACGACCAAAAGGCTACTTGCTCATAATCGACTGAATGAGTTATTACGGGTTACATGTTTGGAATCTGTAAGCAAACATTAGCACTCTTCACAAGGTAGGGAAACAGGCAAGGAAGGTGGACCATAAGCTCTACTGTTGTCTGAAAGTGAGCCCCCTCCAAAATGCTGGGACAAGCTCTGTTCTCCAAAGGGTGTGGAGAAAAACTCGGGTCCCTAGCTGCCTGTGTGGCTGCAGGGGAAGAGCAAGGAAATAATGAAGCTACAACAATACAGACTGTTAGAGATCACAAAATGCCTCCCCAACTCCGAACTTCCAACACCCTATCATAATAAGCACTGCCAGCTCCTAACAATCTAGTCAGGTAGAGATTTTTCTACGCATTTTATAGATGTGGAAACTGAGGTTCATGGTGGTTAAATAAAGTAACCAGGGCAAGTTACTTTGTATCTCTAAATCTCAGTTTGTCCATTTCTAGAATGGAGACAATTATACCTCTCCTCAGTGTTTTTGAAAAATAAGAGATCACCTAAGCTACCTGACAGGCAGGTTGTATTTTCCAAAGATGCTCATGCCAATCTGCGATCCATCCCATGTGCTCATCTAACAATGTGACAACAACACTGCGTCAGGAGGGGCATCTGTGTCCTTCGACCTTGGCAGAGCTCTGTAACCACCTGGGCAGGAGAATGTGATGGAGGTGACACTGTGTGATTCCCAAAGCTAAGTCATGCAGAGTGATCCAGCTTTCCCTGGGCATCCTTCTCTCATGACACTCCCCTTGGAGCCAGCCATCATATTATGCGGAAGCCAAGAGGCCACGCACAGCTGCTCCAGCTGACAGCCCCAGCTCGGTTCTCAGCCAACAACCAGCATCCCCCGCTGACATTTGAGGGAAGGAGCTTGCAGGTGACTCCAGACCACTCTTCGGGACCCCTAGCTGAGGCCTCAGACATCACGGAGCCAAGACCAGCCACCCGATGTGTGCACTCTCTGAATTCTCCATCTACTAAAAATCCATGAGCAAATTCAATGGTTTTATGCCACTATATTTTGAGGGCATTTGTTATGCAGTGACGGTAACTAGAATGTACTGTAAGTGATTTCAAAGGGAAACTTTCTGTTGCTGGTGACTGTGGTAGTGTTGAACCAGTGGGGCTGAAAAAGCCTGAGATGACTGTGTGGAGTGGTATGGGGGAGCCTTAGAAAAGCTCTGTATGTTCTTATCTTAGGCTGCTCACTGCTGCACAGGAGGAATAGAAGGGCAGTGTTACAAGAGGGTATATTCATTTATTGAGCAACTACTATGTGCCAGGGCATGAGCCACATCCATATGTAAATACATATACATATATACGTGCATACATATACACATGTGTGCATACATATACATGTGCGTACATGTGTGTGCCCACATGCGTGCACACGCACATGTGTATACACGTGTAAGCATGCATATACAGTTACACATACACATATGCATGTGTGCATGCATGTGCACATATACATGCATACATATGTGTGCATATACATGCACATTTGTGCACACGTGTATGCAGATATGTGCATAGGCACACAGTGTACACACAATGCATGCATGCATTGAATACACACATCCACACACCTATACATGTCTGCACACACGAATACACATGCACACATGCGTGCCTGTGTACACATGCACATATATATATGCATGTGTGCATGTGTGTACACATACACACGTGTGCATATGCACACACAAATGTACACACATAGCCATTCTTCTCAGCAGTCCTCCCAAAAGGTCTTGTTCCTGTGACTTGCCCAAGGTCACTCCCCTGTCACGTGATGCGAGGGGTCCAGGCCCTCCGTGATGCCCCAAGGCACAGTCTTCAAGAGAACCAGTGTTTTTTCAGGAGTCTGCTTCAGCAGTTGTGTAAGCCCATCTCCTCAGTCTATAGCCCTTTCTGGATTGTGCACCCACTTATTTATTTAAACACTTTTGAATCAATATCTATTCTCTGCCACCACTTGGGATAATAAGTCCCATACATCAAATTGGCAACCGTGTCCAGAGCCCGTGCAGAGGGCATGTCGCCAGCTGTGTGCTGCAGGGAGTGGTTGTGAGTCGCTGTCTGTCCTAGGGAAGCCACTGGCTCACAGACACTCGAGGCCCTACCGTGTGGAAGCTCTGAGTCCGTCACTGTGCCGCAGTGGGTCCCGATGGGGAAGGGACAAGATGGATTTTTAAAACCGCAAAAAGGCACAATGGAAAAATAAAAGGTATATTTTCAGTGAGAGAGTCACAAAAGACAGAGGAAATGGCAGTGAAGGATTTTTCAATGGCGTTGAGAAGACAAAGTGTAAAAACAGGACCAAGAAATTTTCATATTTGAATTAGATGACAAGACTGGACGTGATGAGGAAGCCGGCAGGGCGGCCCCTCTGAGTGAAGGGAAGCCTCCTGCCTTTCCCATCGGACTCTTCCAGCTGTGTTTTTGCTTCCCCTCATTTTTCTTACTAGTGACAAGGTATTTTAGCCTGCTGTATTGTTAACATAATTGTAAGCAGCTTGAAATCCTCTTTGAAACAAGGAACAGCATAAATAAATAAAGAGCCCTGCTATCCATCTGTGCGGTAAGATCATTTTCTTACGCCTCTTCCTTACTGCAAAACCATCCATGCTCACTGTGGAAAAGTTGGACGACAGACAAGGGCAGGAAGAAGATAAGGCACGGTGAGAGCCCTGCCACTTAGAGGGAATTGCAGGTCGGGGGTGGGTGTGTCTTTTTAGATACTCAAAAGAGGATGCGGACATTCTCTCCTCCAGAGGGCACATCCCTGTGCCCCCCCTGCTAGGGAGCTCTTCCTCTCCCCTGGGTCTCAGTTCTGGGGTGCTCACCTCACCTCCTATTCCCTAAGCCACACGTGATTTAACATGCTGGGAGCACTGTGTGCAGCTCCCTCCAAGCACTCCCCGTCCCTGTAATGTTATGTTTATTCATGTGCCTTCCCCATTCCCGGGTCTCCCCACCGGAGTGTAAGCTCCCTGAGATCCAGGGCAAAACGGTTCTTATTCACTGTCACATCTCTAGATAAACAGAAATCTTGGGGATTTGCTGTGGTTTGTGGTTTAGTTTGAAAAAAAAAAAAAATCCCTTACTTTTTCAAAAAACATTCACCATCTTACCCAATTTTAAGTCTACAGTTTGGGAGTGGTAACTACATTGTTACTGTTGAGCAACAGATTTCCAGAACTTTGTCATCTTGCAAAACTGAAACTCTGTACCCATTAAACAACTCCCCGTCTCTCCCTCCTCGTCAGCCCCATCTTCGCTCTGTTTCTGAGTCTGACTACTTTAGACAACTCATATAAGTAGAATCCTATGGTGATCGCCCTTTTGTGTCAGGCTATTTCACTCAGCATAATGTCCTCAAGGTTCATCCACGTCGTATCATTTGACCAGGAAAAAAACCTCTTGCTCCTTAATGTAACGGAATATTAGAGTCATTTTCCCAGACTAGAACACATTTGTCTAAAAGCTTGTACCATACTGTTTTACATGTGGAAGCAGTAGTGTATTTAATTGAAGCCATGTTGTTGGACATTTAGGAAGGGGGCCTGTTTGCTTATCAGTGGAGCTCAGAGTTGCCCTCTCTGGGTGGGTGGACTGTCCCAACCATCCCCACCCTCACACCCATCATAGTTCTGGAACGGGCAGGTGTGACAGAGATTGGATCTACAAGGACAGAGTTTGGGAACCAGAACCCGGGGAGGAAGATGACTGAGCCATAGAAATGGAAGATGGCAGCAGTTCATGGTTTCCTAGCCCAGTCCGGGTGTGATTTGAACTTTGGGGGAAAAGGGAGAGACAAGGCAGAGGGAATAGGTGGAGGCTGGTGGAGCTGTTTTCACACCATAGTCTTTGGGACTCAGACTCTGGGGTGATGAGAACAAAGGGCTCACAGCGATGCTGGGACCCTGGGTAGGAGCCCCCTAATAGGGCAATCTGCATCATCACTCACGGCAGCCGCGGCAGAGGCAGCGGCCCAACATATCCCCGCACCGGTCAGGGTCTTGCAAGAAGGGCAGGGCTGGTGGTATGCTCAGCCGGCTCACACCAGCTTCACAGGAGCACTTCCCCTGCCAGCTGTTACATTGCTGGGAGCCGGAAATGCGCCACAGGGGAAGTGAAATCTACAAACAATGCAAGTGGGGGCTTTCGTTTTTGTTTTTGTTTTTGTTTTTGTTTTTTTGTTTTTTTTTTTTTTTTAGGAGAGCAGGTTTCCCAGCAGACCATTTTAGAGGGTACAC